GCTGGGGGCGCGTCCACAGCGCTCGCACTCACCGGCGGCTCAGAGGTAGCGGCTGCTTGGCCTGGATCCACAGCAGCTGGAGGCTGAAAGAAAGAACCCACCAGTTAAGCAAGGAACAGGGCAGCCCCATGGCAGCCGACAGTGGCGCTCGGTCCTGCACTCCAGGGCCCGCCCCTCGCCAGCTCTCTGCCCCCGGTGCCATACCGCCTGGAGGCTGATGAAGTAACGGTTCCTCTCTGCTTCAGGGTCAATGATGCCCCCTTTCTCTTGCTGTCTCTTGAAAATTAAGCGCAGTTCTTCCTGGTGCTGCAGCGTCTTGGCGTCCGGCCTGTACGGCTCCTGAGCGGCAGAAAGGAAGGTGGGTAAGGGCTCTCTCAGCATCTAGCACGGGTAGGCAGCGGCAGTGCTAAGAGCTACTCCCCAAACCCTCCTTTGATCACACAAAGAACACGGGATACAGAGGTCACTTCACGGTCTAGGAGAAGAAAACTCAGGGCTATACAACGAAGCCTGACCTTTGTGGACACACCAATCAATCAGGAGATGCCCTGCTAGGTTTTATGAATGGCCCTTTGGATGGGCTGCCTAGCGGGACCTGAGAGCGTGCAGTGGGTGCTCACCCGTCTGTTACGCTGGCCCAGCTGAAGCCACCCAGCGAGCGGGCGCAGCCGGGCAGACAAGCCCCCACCTCTTACCAGCGGGTGCTGTGGGGGCGGCGCGGCCTTCAGAGCGCAGAGATCGTAGACCAGGGTCTCCCGGCAGACGGGGCACTGCACGCCGACCTCCTGCGGGGAGGCAAGAGGTGACACCCAACCCGGCCGCGACCCAGCCCACACGCTGGCAGATGATCCCCAGCTTGGAGGGGGAACAGGGTGGCCTTCTTCACTCTTCTGCCAGGCAGGGAAGCCCAGAGGGGTTCCAGCAGCACGAAAGCACCCTGGTGTCTCAAAGACTGCCACGAAAGATGTCTCCACCACGAGGCACGCTGTGATGTGTGCCCCACTGGCTGACCGCTGCGCAGACCACCTCTGTCAGCACGTATGGCTCAAGTCCTCCTTAGGCTAGGATCTATTTTTCCCCACTCCAAAGTGGAGCGTGTCATCTAGGCAGCGCCTCTTTGCAAGGGTTTTGCAGGAAGGAGCCTTTGACTTGTTTCATGCTCAGCTGCACTGTTTGCTGTGCGGCTGACAACTGTTCCAGCACCTGCTCGGGCAGGTTTTATCACCCCAGAACGCAGGTGATCACGTTTATCCTGCTGCAAACCTCTGCAGTTCAAGGACTATGGAAGGAGCTCTCTTTCCTAACTCCTGTGATTCCCGATGCCCAAAAATGCAACCCCCCTGCCCCCTCACACAGCAGGCGCTGACCCAGGGATCCCATAAACCAACTGCTATAGTACTAAAAACTCATGGGGTAATTTTGGTTGGAAAGGGCCCTCTGGAGGTCACTTGGTCTAATCACCGCCCTGATCCTCAGCGCGGGCACTACAGTGACAGTGCTGCCGGGTCAGGCTAGCCCTCGCTCCGTGTCCCAAACGGAGTGACAGAGACGTCATGAGGGCCTGTGCAGGGCTCGGTACCTGTTTGGAGGAAGGTACCAGGTGCTGCTCTCTCTCTTCCTGCTGCATAAGGATCTCCTCCTCCATGTGCTGGGCATAGCGGGCCAGGCAGTGGGAGTGGAAGTAGTGGTAGCACTGGGTCTTTGTGAAGGCTTCTCTCTCCTGTAGAGGAGAAAGCACAGCTGTAAAGGGTTTCTGAGCACAGGGCTGCGCAGCCTCCCCAGATGAAGGGGATTTTCACTCCAATGTGAGCACTGGCAGCAGGGAACTCCTGCTACTGCTGGCAGAGACACATAACATCTGCTGGGCTTCTCACCTCTACTTCCTCAGCTCTTACTGGGACACTGCTCCCTGTTCCGAGTGTGAGAAACAATCCTAATGTCAAGCTGCAGGGGTTTTGTGACTGATTTCTCTGCACGTCTGCCTGTGTAAGCAGCAATCCTCCCACCAGTGTGTTCTCCTGCCTAGGCAGGCATCGCCTCTCCTTGTAATCCAGACAAGGCAAGCTCCCCTGTTCTCACAGACCTCAGCATCCACACGGATGGGTTCCCATCCCTCCCGACCACCCGTGTGCTGAGCTCCAGGTGAAGTCTGACCAAGACAGCGAAGCCAAGATGCACCAGCAACTATCCCCAGACCCTACCCACTCCCTTGGAGATGCTCTGCTGTCACTCACTGCCCCATGCCCTTTTGCTGTAGACAGTTATCTTCAGGCCAACAGGGAGAGCAGCGTGTGTTGCCTTAGGAAGGTTCACGCTCAGTAGGATCCCCTACAGACCAGGGGGGCACAAAGCTGCTGAGGCACACCCCAGTCCCAGGCTGACATCCCAAGCTTTGAGCCCCAGGCTCCCCATTCTCTTGCCTCACTTCCCAGCCAGCTTTTGGGGCCAGAGGACACGTGCCTACCTGGAACCCATAAAGACAGATCACACACTGGCCATGAGGAATGTTGTTGTCAGTGAGAATCTCCTTCCCCTTCTGCAGAAGCATTAAAGCAAACATTTCAGTCACCAGCCTGGCCTTGAGTGCAGGGCTATCCCGCCCCTCGGGCAGTCAGGGACCAGTGCCTGTGGCTGGTCGCCCCCAGTCTTCCCCACCTCTCACCTCGATCAGTTCATAGAGCACCTCGGTCCCCAGCCTGGCTTCAGCAACACTTCTGAGGGTCTGGGAAATCCTATAGTAAAGCAGCAGAAAGGCTTAACACAAATTTAGCCACACCTTTTCAGTGCCCCACGTACCTGTCACCCTGCCACAATGACAGGAAGAAGAAATAGAGCACTGGCCTTCAGGCTTTGCCTACAGCGTGGGATGGGCACATGTGCACACACATATTCATGTGCTCTCCCGACTCCCTGCAAGCCGGTGCGCAGGAAGCCTTTGTCCTCAGAGGACTTGCAAGAGCAGTTTGCTGGCCGCCTCGGCTCCAGCTCACCCAGCACCATTCAGTTTTGGTGAATCTCAGGCTTCGTTTATCTGACCGCAGCCCCTGAGCAGGTCTGGTGGGAGCCGCGTTGCTCCTGTGCTGCCGGCAGGTACCAGGCTCTCTCTGCACACTCCGCTGCACCATGGACAGGAGCACGAAGGCAACGAGGGGCTGCCCGAGGACTCGGTTCAGTCTCACCTCTGCCAAAGCAGCTTCAAAGGCCCAGGAGGTTTAGATGACATTTCAGGGGGCCCACAGGGGAACAACCACAGGGTGCACCCCTCGGTCTCAAATTCAGCACCAGTGGCTCTCAGGAGATTTAAGACAAGGGGATTCAGGGACCTGTATCCACCTGCTAACCAGGCACGGGGAGCCACAGGAATTTGTGAGGTAGTTTCTCCACCAGTTTCGCTCTCTGGATCTCCAGAGGAAAAGATCACCCTCTCCCCAACCTCCCGGCACTCACTTTTGAATTTGCTCATCCGACAGCCCCCTCGGGTTCCTGATCGAGATTTCCGGAGGTTTGTTGGGATACTAGGAAAAAAAGTTAAAAAAAGAAGAGAAACACTCCAAGCGCAACCGGGAAGGCGGGGAGGCCCGGGGGGCCGGCAGCCTACCTGGGGGGGCACGGAGAGCAGCAGGG